ATAATAATAATAATAATAGTAATAATATTATTATATAAACCTATATTATGGAAATACAAATAAAACGTGTAGGTGTAGGTATAGGTATGTGTATGATCGGAATATTTGAAATTTTATCGGCAATGCAATGCAGCTACCTGATTTTACGATATCGAAGGATCACGATGGCCAAGAGGAATGCTGAAGTTTGCCATCGTAAACAGCAGATCCCTTGAAGAGGATCTTCGAGGGATCGCGAGAGGTTTCCTTTCGATGCTTCTCGCTTATCGATGCTTCGTCCCAAGAACTCTAATCGTTTTAGCGAGCTTTCGTGCTTTGCGAGCTTATCTCCGTGAAATATGGAAGATGGAAAGACAGCTTAATGCGAGCTTTAACACCAACTACGACGATTCGATAATCCTATGATCCGTTTCGATCGTTCGATCCTTTCAATCTTTCCGAACTATTTTATTCAATTGATTTCTATCGATTCAGTTGAAATAATTTAATGACAAATTTATAAAACACAGACAAAATATATTTTATATTTCGTAATATTCATTTCCACATTCGATATATTAATCGAAAGTTCAATTAGAAAAAGTGTTGATTAACCGGACACGTGTCAATTGACTTGGAATGAAAATTTTTGATAAAACCTCGGAAAATAGCTAGCGCGAAATCGAGGCTAATTATTTTCAAGGTCGGCTGAGTCTGAAATTCGTTGTACTTTGCCGCGAAACGAAAATCTATCTTTACCCTACAGTTGGGTGCCATGTTCCGACAAAGGCCGACGAATATAGACGGCCGTTTCTCGAGATGTTAATTTGAAACACGACCGAGTCCATTCTACTTGGCTAAGAACAAACCTCCAAATGATTACGGGAATCACATCTATCATCTATATATTTATTATAACTCTTCCTACTCCTACCAAAATGATTCAATATTTTATTTCTTTCCTTTTTTCTATCTCACTTATCAAAATTAAATTTCTATCGGTAATTAAAATCGATGAAAAATTAATCAAATTTACATCAAAAGATTACGGTAAGCAGATTAAAAAAGTCACCGCTATATGTATATGGTACAAAAGTGAAATAAGAGAAAATCTATTGTTTTAATTTCTATTAATGTCTTATTAAATTTGTTAATCGATATCGGAAAGTTTGTTCATGTTTGAAAGATAGGAAACGAATAATTGATCAAACAGTATTTACTTTCTTTTTAATTATATATATATATTCATTTTTTTTCAACAAAACGTTTCGGTAATTTTAATGGAGGCAAATGATAAAAAAAGAGATAATTGTATTAGATAGTTAAATAGATAGATAGATAGATAGAAGGTAGTTATTTAAGCCACTCGAAATATGCCGGGTCGGTGTGTTCGTTTCGAGACGCGTGCCGCGAATGTATTTTCACAGTCAGTTGGAAATAGCCGTCGACCGATCTAATATTATAATAGCGATGACTGGTGGTGGGTTTGTAGAACGATGCTTTTGAGTCTTCTTCCCTTCAACAAGAAGAAAAAAAAGAAGAAGAAGTATTAGTAGTGATGGTAGTAGTAGTAATAGCAGCACAAATAAAAAAAAAAAAAAATAAGAAATAGTAGTATTAGTAATAGTAACATCGACAAAAAAAAGATAAAGAAGAAGAAGAAATAGAAAAAAATGTGAAAAATAAGAATAATAATATAATAATAATAAGAAGAAAAAACAAATAAAGTAGAAGAAGCTTAGAAACGCACGCGCGTGCCGAAGTTACTAGCCGTGTTTTTAACGCTCCGCTAGTGCACAGCAAGAACGTCTAACATCTAAAGTGTAACGTTACTTCTTCTTCTTCTTCTTCTACTACTACTTCTTCTTGGTTGTCGTTGTCGTTGTCATTGTCGTTGCAATTGCAATTGCCGTTGTCGTTTAGTTGTCGTAGTAGTTGTTACGGAAGACTTTAGCCGTGACAGAGAAGACCTTCCTCTTTCTCTCTTTCTCTCTCTCTCTCTATCTCTCTCTCTGTTTCTGTCCCTCCCTCTCCAACCCTCTTTCTATTCGGTTTTCGTCGAGCATACAGTTTCAACTTTTCCTGCCAACAGAATGGCTCGCGATCGGTGTAGCTCTTCTCTTTCGAACTCGCCAATTTGACGTGTTACGTTAATTGGTGGTTCAAACATTTCAAAATATTCTTTCACGAAAAAAATCTTACGAACGATCTCATTCGAGACTAAAGAAAATAAACGATTATTATGGTATACTTTTCGATAAGATTAATTCAAAAGATACCGCCACAGTGTGTGTATATCTCTTTTGGTTTGGATGGTCACGTGGTCCTTACGATAAATGAGAACGGATTAGTAACGAATGGTCTTTGTTTAATACCAATACGAGGATTCGAATAAGAGTATCGAGTGAAGGTATTTAATCGAGTAATCCCTTCTGAGAAACGAGATTTAGAAAGTTTCTAGGAGCAACTCGAACGCGTGTGAATTAGTGTCGGGATAGAAGATTAAACGTTTTAAGCAAGTTTATTTAAAAGAAATAAAGCCAAAGAGAAATAAGAAGAAAAGTTTTATTTATGTTATTTCATGGAAACTGTACACGTGTATATTTTTCTATGTCTACTAATGTACTTCTTGTTAAATATCGTGAAAACTTATATTATTATTTGGTTGAAATCTTAGTTAACATATCAAAATAAACAGACATTTGTGTGTGTGTGTATGTGTATGTGTATCTGGTTAAAAACGTATAAAAAAAGATTATGAGTTTACATACACGCGTGTGTATCTATTCCGTTTATACTTCGTAAATTTTTCAATGGAACTAAAAGTATTCTTCGCATATGTAATCCCATAGTGAATAATAATAATTTAATCGTTGAATTGTGTTTAACGAGATCGAAATCGGAACGCATCGGTTAGAAATAATTTCGTCTCGTTGAGCGAAAGTGTTTTGACTCGATTAATTCGTTCGTGTTCTCGAGGATCGTTCTCGTATCATCGTGCGTCGTCCATTTGCAGTACTGACAACGATGCAATTCATCTGACCCTACTTCTCATCGTTAATCTAACGGACACCATGGCCGACAGGTTTCGTAAAATGGTAATTCGATTCGATTAGATTCGATAATTCAAATTCAAACAACTTACCATTGATCATAAACGTATTTTAACGTTGCTTGTTGGAAAAAATATTATTATATAAAATTAAGAAAAAAAAAAGTAAATAATTTAATTTTATAATTAACAACGTATTATATTGGCTACATTTTAAGGAACATCGAAGTAATTGCGAGCGTTGAACGCTTCCTCGAACGGGGTATCACCCCACCTACGCAAATTTTCTATAAATATTTCGTTACTCTCGATAAATCAACTGTGCTTGCTTGCAAGCTTGCGTTAAGACACGTGCGCCGACACACACGTGTGTGTTGTATCCTTTGAGTTCATAAATAGTAAGAAATATATATATTATATATATCTATATAAAAGTATATATATGTTACCGTCATAGCCGGAAATCCGCCATTGCTAGTAATTCCTCGGCATTCTCATCAATGCAAAGAGCATTCTCTGATAAAGTCGGAAACAAGAATTTTTACAGTTTTTCCTAAGCATTGAACATAATACTTTGATATTCTATAGAATATCAAATTACTATTTAAACAACGTTGAAAAGAAATTGCAAAGATRCACAATTTACAGCATTGCATTTACTGACATTTTATAAACTTTACATGCTAAATTTATAACTCGATATGGTGTTCAACGCGTAGACAAAAGAGTGTACTTTAATTTAATATAAATTTTATTAAAATCTATTAACTTTTAGTATAAAAAATATTTACCAAAACTTTTCAAAGAAATAGCAAAGTTGTACAATTTATAGCATTGCAATCTACTACTACAACTAACACGTTAATCGTTATCGATTGTATCTTGTAGGATAATAATCTTATCCTAGAAATCACAGCTAAACTAAACTCTACGCAAAGGATGTTTTCCGTTTGGATAAGCAAATCTATCTAACGTTGGGAGTAGGAGGGGTTAACTCATTGTTAAGCTTCCTATGGGGAATGAGGTTGGTTGATAGAGTAGGCCGAAAGAGTCGAGATAGGAGAGAGGGAAGAGAAGATGAGAGAGTATATGGGAGTAGTAGGGAATGGGGGGGACTAACTAGTTAATTGATTTTGAGACCTCAAGCAGACTAGATTAGCTCGCGTGATATTCTGCTTCGACGGTGGTTGTTTATGCGAGATGTCGTTCGGTGATCGCTCGTTTAATAACGTTATACCCTATTATAAAGCCCACGTATAAAGAAGGAGAAGGAGGAGTGAAACTCGTCCTCTTTTCGTACCAATACACCATGCTTAACGTGAAACGTTATTATACCGAGTCCTCGTAAAAAGATATCTTCTCTTTTGGAAAGTCTTTAAGAGCTACTCAAAACCTTCTCCAGTAATCTTCTTAATAACATTTCGATAACATCTTCTTCATTCTACTACGACTTTCTCGTCATTTATTTTCTCGAGTCGTTCGATCGATTTTTTTTCTTTATCGATTTTATAATCGATATAGGAATGGATGGAAATGGGGCGGTCGGAGGGGGGAGGGGTAGATGAAGAAAGACTCATTATATTTACTTGAAAAATGATTTCTATTTATGATAAATCATTTTTAATTACTATTTTATATACTTTTATTTATTTGGATTCAGTATTTTATATTATAAATGATTCATATTAGAATATACCGTCACGGTTATTATAATATATATGTATAACAAAGTTTAGTTAATTAAATAATTAAAATGCTAATAATATTTTTTTTTTAAAATACTGATCAAAATAATATTGATTCGATGAAATGGCAGGCTCATTTTATGTTATTGGATAAAATATTTAATCTATCGTTTTTCTTTGTAGATAGAAATTTGAACAAAATATTGTATATAATACGACAAATAATTGTTGGTTAGTTTGTTTGTTTTTTGGTATTGTATAGAACTATATTATATTTGTTTCAGGTAAACGGCGACGATGATTGGGAGTACGAGGAGATCGTGTTGGAAAGAGGTGGGGCCGGTTTGGGTTTTAGTATCGCCGGAGGTACCGACAATCCTCACTTTGGTAACGACACAGCGATTTACATCACCAAACTCATACCAGGAGGTGCAGCATCCGCGGATGGACGTTTACGTGTTAACGATACGATCCTTCAGGTGAATGATGTCTCCGTCGTCGACGTACCCCATGCGGCCGCCGTAGATGCCCTCAAACGTGCCGGCAATACCGTCAAATTGGTATGTCTCATTTTTTCTAATTCTTTTCTTGTTTTTTGTTATTTCTAATAATTGAATAAAGCGTAAGAATACAAATTCTTACAATTAGTTCTCCCGAAAAATTGAATTAATTTAATTTAATTACAAAAAAGAGAACAATTTATTAAATTATTTAACACTAAGGTTTTTTTTTACGAACATTTCTTATATACCTATCTACCTTTTTCTTCATAGAAGGAAATTTTGGAAAAAGTATTGTACATGTAATAAATTATATTTTTAGATATTACATATATAACTTATATTATAGATTAATTTTCGTATCATTTTGAAGATAGTTAAATTTCTACATAACTTGATCCTATTTATAATGACACAGAATTAAACAAAATTAATTTCATTATGTCGTGAAATATCCTTTCGATGATCATCGATTTTTTTTTTTTTTTTAAATAAATTACGAGTATCTTCTCTCATCGTCGCACAAAAGGAAAATAATAAATTCGTCGTTATAACAAATGACGTTTTCAAAAGTTTATCACATTTTTAAAGACGAACCATTAAGAAGGAAGGAATCTTATGTTAGAGAGCAGGTAAATGATCGTCGCTTCGGGACTTTTAAAAAGTGGAAAAGAGAAAGAAAGTGAGGAAGAGAAGAAAGAGGAGGTTGAAGATAGAGGGGGAGGGAGAAAAAGGGATGATATTCGGGAAAAGGTTTTATGACAAATAGATATAGAAGTCTTGCCAGTTATCATCTTTCTTCTTCCTCTTTTCAAAAAGTTCTGTTCTTCTTCATTTGGGAACTTCTCGATCTTTTTCATATAAAAAAAAAGGTAGAAAAGGGAAGGTAGGGAAAATGTATTTATGAGTGAAGCGATAACAACTTGTACTATACGGAATTTATGCTTATGAAACGTTCGTCGTAAAAACAATCGTACAAATTCCAAAATTTCTTTCTTTTTAATTGCAAAAATTGAATCACATTGTAAAAATCGAATATATTTTTGTTTAATTTATCTTGAATCTGTAACAACCTGAACGAACCGAAAGGATCGCAGTTTATTTCGCGTTCTCGATTAGTTTCGCAAACGTTATCGAAAGAAGAAGGGCGGAAGAGTGGGGGGGGAGAAACTACGAATTCGTCGATAGGAATCGATAGGGTTCGGTGAAAAAATAAAATAGAGTTTTCGTAATTAATTTTTTTCTACGTGAACCATTTTTATAGTTTTCATTTCCAGCGAAAAAAAATGTAACGCCGCGTACGCTACATGTGAACGAAAGCATGACAAAAAAGTTGTTAAAAATAAAAACTAAAAAGAAGGGAACTATGTCGTTCGGTACGAGAAACGTAAAGCACGGTAAACTAAACGATAAAAAAAACAATAAAAGAAAACAAACAAGCAAGCAAACAAGCAAGCAAGCAAGCAAGCAAACAAACAAACAAACAAAAAAGAAAACTAAATTTTTCTTCCTGTATTGCCGTAACATGTAATTGCATGATTCATGAAATTTTGTTTTCTTTACCATTTTAACAGTACGTTCGCCGGCGGAGACACACGCAGCTGATGGAAATCGAATTGATCAAAGGAAATAAAGGTCTCGGCTTCAGTATCGCTGGCGGTATTGGCAATCAGCATATACCTGGTGACAATGGAATATACGTTACAAAAATTATGGAAGGTGGAGCTGCACAAGTGGATGGTCGTCTAGTTGTTGGGGACAAATTGGTAGCTGTCAGAAATGCCATGGTGAATAAACATATTTATTTTTTCTTCATATACATGTGGATGCAACTTGTTCAAAGTTTCCTAAAGAAATTCAAATAATTTTCGATTAAAAGAAAATAATTTAGTTGATAAGTTTAGCATATATATAATCTATTACTATTTCCAGACTAATCGGTGGTAGTGGTACCTTTTAGAAAAATAAACTCCTGATCATTTTTCATTTTAAAAGGGCATGACTAACACCACCACTACCACACTTTTCTAGATTTTCAAGATAAAACTTCCAACGGAATGGCCGGTTAAGTGCAGATGAGAAAAATAGATTAGGGCGGTTCGTAGCTCGTGCAAGTTTATAATTGATAGCTCCTATCAGTCAGTGATATATATATATACAGGGTGCTCCAGAAGATTTCTCCTAAATTTCGTAATAATTTTTTTATGAATATGATTATAATAATGTATAAATGTAGCCTCGGAAATGCTTTGTTTTATAATTAAAGTCAATCAAAGATTTTCTTCGTTCTTTTCTTTATTTCAATAATGAAACGTTACTAGAAAAATGGTGGGTGGCTTGGAAATATTTGACTGGCTTTAACTCGAAAACAAAGAGAACTTTGTCATTATTTTAATCACAGGAATATGCTCGTGAAGTTTAGCAGAACTTTCATGGAACACCCAGTATATATATATATACAGAAAAGAATTCGTTCTTTCGCTAATTTCCTATCACCAGCGCTACCATCATCTCCCATTTTGCCTCGGTAGATGCGAATTTCTCGTCATTTCGAAACTTCCTATTACGATCTTTCGCATCAACGCTCCAGCTTCCTCTTTTCTTTCTCCTTTATTTTCTTTTTTCTCTTTTTCATTTACGTTTCTCACTTCCGAATCATGGAAGAAAGAAAATGCGGCGATTAAAACGACCATGGGGTTTCTTATTGTCTTGATTTATGACCATGAGAACAATTTTTAAACTCGTTCTACGTAAATTTTTGTTCTAGTTTCTTTCAAATTCTAATAAACGCAATAAATAAATATATATAGATATAACTTTTTCTTACAAACTAGAAATTACTTCGTACGTTATTGAAATATCTTCAGAATCTTAATTAACCTTACGTACTTACTTATTTAATCGACGTTCTGTGTTCTTCTCATCTAACGAAAAAGCTGGCAAACGTGCTGTCTATATATATATTTTGATATACTTTACACATACATATATATATAATATATAAGAGAGGAGGTCCAAGTGTTAGATTCTGAAGTTGATTTAACTTTGCGCATGATTACGTGCCACTAAGCTTGTTTCGTGTCCGTGGAAAGTTCGTCAGATGTTCGCGACAGTGTTACCAAAAGTTTCAAACCCCCATAGCTTTTTCCTATGTTGCACTACAATCGCTCTTCTGTAATTAGCTCAACCCGTCTCACTTTCAAGACCGTTCGTGTAAGGAAGAAAAGATAGAAAAGTGATCATTCGTTCTTTTTCTTTTTTCTTTTTTCTTTTCACTCAATATCATTCCATCAAGATTAGCTTTCGTTTCAATTAAAAGAATCGTTTTTTCTTTTTTCATCAATCCTTTTTTTTCCCGTTATTTTTACTTTCACGATTCAGTAATCGATTGAGATTTTCTATAATCTGTAAGATTAAACAAAGAGTTATCTCTAAGGATTATTCTATTGGTTTCAGCAGGGCGACAAGAATCTTGAGAACGTGACGCACGAGGAAGCTGTGGCTACTTTGAAGGCAACCCAGGACCGTGTTGTTCTTTTGGTGGCTAAACCTGAAGGCACCATACCTCCACCACCACCAGCTTCAGATCGTTCAGTTTCACCACAACCACGTAAGTGTTGCAGTTCATTTCTTTTCAAGATTAAGTACGAAAAGATAAGTCTACGGTTATATATAATATATTATATTATTTTCTTTCTTTTATAATTGTATTCACAAAATTCTTACGTATCATTACAATCAAAACCCTTTTTTACGACACGATATTCTAGAAAACTAAACTTAAGTAATGTCATGATGCAAATAGGTTAATAATATTACTGATTATTATTAACTCTTGTCCTCATATTTGAAGATACTGAGAGAAGTAGAGAAAAAAAAAAGAAAAAAAAAAGGCTAATAAAAATTCTTTTCCACTCGGAGATAAAAATATTTTTATCTCATGATACCCGTTTACTATATTCAACATAAACATTTAAAGAAGTTCACTTCTTTTCTTTCTCTATTTCTCGAGCAAAAGATAAGAAAAGAAAAGAAAATAAGAAAATGGACTACGACGAGAACAGTGTTGAAATTTGAAATGAAAAACATGTTGATTCTATGGATAAACAGGTAAAAGAAAAAGAACAAAAAAAAGAACAAGAAGAAAAAGAAAAAGAAGAAGAAAAAAGGGAAAAACGTTAGTAAAAGAATATAGGATGGAAAAGAAAATGTTAGAAATGAATTTTTGATCTTAGGATCTTTCCAAGATAAGAATTTTCCTTCTATCTTGAGTCCGTGATCGGACGTAAACGTAACTTATTCATCGTCTTCATAAAGCAGCCTCGTAAACTCTCGTCTTGAGTCATCTCGAGACGAGAATGCGTACCTTAGGCTCCTCCTACCGGTCCTTAGTTCAGGACTCGTGACAGAAAGGGTGAGGCGATGTAAGAGGAAGAATAAGACGTCGGAGGAGATGGCAAAGAAAGACAGAGAGAGAGAGAGAGAGAGAGAGAGAGAGAGAGAGAAACTTCTTCTTGAGTGTGGGTTTATCGTGGCTGAATTCAAATTGCTCCTTTAAAACAACGACGTGGAAGTATCAAGACAGTAGAGGAGGAGGTGAAGCATAAGGGGTGGCGGTGGTGGTGGTGGTGGTAGAAGAAGAAGAAGAAGAAGAAGAAGAAGGAGAATAGGGTGGGGGAGGATCGGTGCTCTCGCCTTCCAGCAAGATTATCCGAATATTTGCCTTAATCTTTGTAGAAATGGCCGGAGGACGTGCTAAATTTCATGGATAGAGAAAATGAGCAGGGATGGGCTAGAGGATGAAGATGGGATGGGATGGGGTGGGTTGGGGGTGGTTGATGCTTGGTGGAGAGGGTGATGAGAGGAGGTTGAGCAAGTCGTTTGCTTCTCGTCTCGTTTTGCGAGACTGTAGAACGAAAATTTTATCGTCGATGCTGCCGCTTTTTGATGGTTCGATGCTTTCTCTTTCTTTCTCTCTCTCTCTCTCTCTCTCTCTCTCTCTCTCTTATTTCTCTTTCACGAGAGCGAACAGCAAACTCGCGTCGAACTTTTTATTATTCCTTTCTTTAGCCTGGCGAAACGTTGTAGCTTTTGGTGTGCGTTTTCTCGTATATCGCGAATAAAAATAGTGGGGTCAGAGGACGGGGGAGGAGTATAACAAAGCTTCAGTTGATGTCTTCCGAGTGGCTCGTTTCTGTCGGCTCTTAATCGCATACCGTCGCGATTTCTCTCTCTCTCTCTCTCTCTCTTACTTTTTAATTTCTCTTTATGACAAGTTTTATGGCCGATAGAACACTCGATAAAATCACTCTGATCTTTTTATTCGGATTTGACCTGCTTGCAGGTTTGCTACTGCTGTTGTTGCAGTTGATATGCATGTCTTTGATAGAGATATATTTACAACTGTCAAATAAAAACTTTTATGATTGATCCTTTTCTTTTTCTTTTTTTTTTTTTTTATTTTGTGCCAGTCAACTCATGATCTGATTAAAGTTTAATCTGGGGAATATGAAAATAATATATTTGTATTATTTATGTAAGTGTGAATAAAAAATAATTAAAAAATAATTATATATATATTATGATTCTCTGTTAAGTTTGATTAATTTTAATATCTACAGATGTCTGTTTTATTTTGACAGGTAAACAAAATGGAGCAGTGTCGGCGTTGGAGAATAATTCTACGCTACCGTATTCCCAAGAATCTCGTCATGCGTCGTCTCTCGCGCTTCACGGCGTCGCGACGCCTCGTGCCGTTTCACAGGAAGACGTATCTCGGTGAGAGTTCACTTTGAAATTCATATTTATTAATTTCTTTTTCTTCTTTTTTTTTTTTTTGTCTTTTCAAGCATAATATATAATATCATTCTTTCATAACGTATATATTTATCATGAAATTTAATAAAAAGAAACATATGGTTTCTTATTTTATCAATCGTGTTCATTGACACAATCGAATTTTAATGGGCAACAGTTCAGCTCGGTCATTACTCGTTCGTTTATGACGTTTCTCGTAAATACGAGTTATTTCGTTGCTTATCTCTTTCTCATTCTCCTGTTAAATAATATCAGCATTTCTAAATGTATGTTAGTTCATGCGAGTAAAGATAGGATTGGTTAGTTCGTAGTTATTATGAAGTAAAACTTATTATGCAAGGACAAAGCTAAATCATAGAAAGGACAATACTATCGAAAATGTTAAAACCCAACCGTGCATGTCTTCTATGAGCGAGTAGGAACAATTTCGAAAAGGTCGACGTTTGATCAGGACAAATCCTATACGAATAATCCCTTTTCCAGAGATAGTAGAATGAAATTAGAATGTGTGTCGAGAGTTGTAGAAGAGTTAATTTCGAATGTATCGAGGAACTTATCGAGTCGGTTTGCTCGACAAGCTGAGGGAATCGATGAGAGAACGCGTTATGTAATGTACGGAAGATAGGTGTACAACCATCCCATTGGCTCGTTCTATTGACCTAACTGGTCGATGTTGACCTCCTGTAATAGTAGATATCCTCTCCATAGAAAGATAGACTGGTTCACGAATGAGAATATCGTACCCACTCCTAAGTCCGAGTACCTTTCGTGATTTCTACTTCGTTATATCGTAATCGGAAATAAGTATTCGCGGAGTTTAGAAATCCCACTGTTCCATCGAATAGATATTTCATGATTCGGAAAATGAAACGACTTTGTTGTCTAGGTGGTTTTATTTTAATGACAACGCGATGTAACATCTGAGAATTAGCACCTGCTCTGCTATGTTCTGTTCCTTCTTCCTCGGAAGATTCACGGACCACAGATAATGAAATATTCTATTCATAGTGATTCTTAATAGCAAGTTCCCCCGGAACTGCGATTAATCCTTGGTTCCTTCCTTCCTTCCTTCCTTCCTTCCTTCCTTCCTTACTTACTTACTTACTTACTTACTTACTTACTTACTTACTTACTTACTTACTCACTCACTCACTCACTCTTTCCCCACCTTCATCCAGTTGCGTTCAGTAGCAACTATCTACGTCCCTCGTACCTCTTCAAAATCCTTAAAGTTTTGCGACCTTATCCTCCCTTTTAGCTTAAGCTTTTCAAAGATTCCACCTTAGCCGGAAGGGATTTGGCGAGTTGTACAACGAGAGGGAAACGAGAACGAGGAAAGTTACAGACGTAGAAAATGCTTTGAAAGTGGATGGGTAGCCGACTGAAGGTTTAAAGAGAAGAAAACTACGAGTTATTACGGTACTCGAGCATCAACCTAAATGCACGCAAAAAACTTTAATTTCTTCCCCTCGTAAATTAGCCGGAACCATTATTCCCGTCACTGTAATTTACTCTTATACCATCTTCGAACCGTCTCCACCTTCCCCTCCCCACTTTCCCCCGCCATCACCCATCCACGCACACCACTTTCCATTCCTTTTCTTTTTCTTCTCCATTCTTTTTTTGCTTTCTTTCGGTTCGAGATATGCGCGAGCAGCCGGTGAAGAGTTTAAAGGAAAATTAGGGTAATTATTTAGTAGTCCTTTTCGTGGAATCTTCCATGGAACCTCTGAGACATCCTTAAAATAGCCTTAGGATAGCCTTTAGATGTTCCTTCCTCTTTACTTCACGTAAATGTCCTCGTGAAACTCGTAAACTCTCGAGTGATTGCTGGCTCAGGTCCTTTCACACACAAACTTTCAAGGAATTAATAAAGTTTCACCGTCGTTGGGCCACCACGATTTCTGTTACACGTTTTAAATCGCTAGCAACGTTTAAGACTTTCAATCGGATTTTTTGAAGGGAAAACTTCTTTAGAATCATTGTGATTTGAAACTCGATGAAACGGAAATGAGGAAACGACATTAAAAAGAGACAAATATATGCATGCGTGTATACTGCACGCATGTATTTTTTTCCTTTTTTTTTCTCTCTTTTTACGTAATTTAATGTAAACACGAAAACTAACAACGAGATTTGCATATATGGCTGAAATGTATATCGGGTTTGTTTTTGTCAACATTTTTATTCATTATTTAAAATAAATGATCATTATTTATAATACAATATCGATACGTAATATTAGTCAGCATTACATATGTTAATATAAAATCTCTCAATACATATGGAATAAATGTTAAATATTAATAATAAAATATGTACATCTAATAATGTAACCTGTCAATAATTTTCATTCTAAATTTTGCATAAAGCAACAAAATGCGATCCGACACTTAATAATTTATAACAAACCAAATATTCGTATAAATTGATCGTTTATTTTACAAAATACATATTATCGTAAATGAATAAAAATAATCTGCCATAATAAATAGTGAGCATTCAGTTATTTGTCATTCTTACAATTTGTACGATAATATCGTATTCTAGTTATTTTAGTTTTAATTTAGTTATATCACGACTCAATTGATATGCACTCCGTTAAACAACTCGACACGTCGTTAAATTCGCACGAAAAAGTCTACCCTTCGTAACTCTTAACGGATTTATCGGGAATAGTAAAAATTGTACCGATTGCTTATTATACGACACGAAACTGTCGGATCTTAATGGCTTGCAGTTACGGAGCTCAGGTGTATTCTAAATTTATGAGTGGGGTTAATAGCTCAGACTACGCCTCGAATCCTTCACTGATATTACGAAGGATTAGAAAACCGTAATGCTCGATGATTAAACACAAGTTTATTTCAAAATAAAGAATTTACTTTGACACGCGATACCTGTATAAATAGAAGAAGTCATAGAAAATTATTGTGCCATTCAGCGTGCCGTTAAACTATATGCATATGTTAAAGATTATTGCACGAATAATTAATTATCCATTTTTTTATTACAAATATATGTTATAAAAAAGTACTACCAAATTCTTTGAAGAAACAAATAAAAGCGGAAGTACGTATTGTTCAATTTACACAGATATATACCGTGTGTAAACATACTTATACATAGAGACACGTATACGTATGAATCGTTTTAGGGAATACACATGTTTGATACATATGCTTGTGTTTATATCTATATTCCTATATACATTTGTCGGATGCGGGCCAGGGTCAGAGCTTACTCAGGTCACGAGCGTGATACTACCACTACCACAACTTTGACATTGCTTACTGCAGTTTAGTTCTCGACGCTTTCGCTTACGTAATTTAACAGTATCGTATAGAATCTACAGTTTCCTCGTTTTCCCTTCTAAAGATAATGTTGAATTTTCAGCTTGCGCCCAACCCTCTCGCACGTATTTCGAATTTATCTCGTTACCGTCATAAAACTTTTCTCGCTTTTTCCCTCTGTTCTATTCTCTTTAAATTGTTCCATGTAGTATGCTGTAGGTATATACGTATATATACCGTTCGTTTATCTTCATTTTTTTTTTTTTTTTTTTTTTTTTTTTTTTTTTTTTTTTTTTTTTTTTTTTTTTTTTTTTTTTGGCACATACTTTTCGCTAGGTAAAATAACTATAACGAGGAAAGTCTGATTTAACTTATTAGGATAATAAAGATAAGAGGACAACGTTAATTTTTATTTTTCATTCGAATTTGGACGTTGATTTTTTTTCCAAAATTATCTTCTCATATACATTTTTCTAAATTTTCGTCTTTTCTTTTTTTCTTTCTTTTTCTTTCTCCTAGATGAATTAATTGTATTAAAGTACGCGGATGGGGTAAACATCGTTCCGGTGATGAAAATAAGAATAGTGTGACACTAATTTGGAGACCCTTCATCCGGTTCATTGTAATCTGCCCTCGTATAAAGCAAGACTAATTTAATTTCTCTCTCTCTTCCTATTTTTTTCACTATTTTTTTCACCCTCTTCTATCTGTCTATCCGCTCAGAAATGTCTGTTGCGCGATGAGAGAGGAAACCCACAGGAATAATCGAGTGACACGAACAGTTGCCAGACTACACGTATAATTCGATAAGAAAATGCATAAAAATGTTATTTCATTAAAGTACGAAATATTTCACAAAAGTAACCAACAAATATTGTTCCTTTAATATCTTTTATTTTTTCTCAATATAATATAGAAAATTTTTATTGATAAAATAAAAATTAATAAGCGAAATAAAAAGAAAACAATTTCATACGAAAATATTTTGATATTTATTATGTTAAATAATAAAAGTAATTTATAACGATTGAAAATATCGATTCAAAAAGGAAACACCTGTTATTACGAGACATTTAAAGCCAATTTTCAGGTTTTAAGCAGAATAAAAAAGAAAAGTAAAAAGATAAAAATGAACATCCAAAGAAGTAGTAGTTTCGCATCGAAGTATAATAGCATATTCCGGCCATGAAAATGATCCTGTATTATACAGACGAGTTGAACGAAGTCGAGATTTTCCGGACAATTCACGAATAGAAAAGAACCGTGTGCATTTTTATCCTCTTTCATTTTCTTCCTAGACAGCAGGACACCCGGCCGAGTTAGTTCGTTCCATTGTTCCCATGGACTTTCCTCCACCGAGAGGTTTCACTCCCTCGCACAGCCTCACCTCTCCTCTTTACTCTACCGTCTCTACCTCTTTCATTTTCAGGGCCAGGAGAAATTAAATTTGTTCCAACATCGGGCTAAAAATACGAGGTCCGCTAGGAGAATGTTGTAAAATGGCGACATGGTTTTGAGAACGAACGAAGAAAACGAAGGAGGGCGAAGGGGAATGGGTGAGGGGGGTGAGGGGTGAATAAGTATAAAAGGGTTCTAAGTTTTCCTATGGGATTAGAATTTTGTTGCATCAATGTGAACGTTTACACCGACACAACTAAATTCAGTTCC